TATTTTGTTTTACAGTGTAGCTCTTGCAATATATTACCACATCAAAAACAGGTAGGTAAATTAACAAGTCTCCTATTGAAGATAGCTTTTAAAACAAATCAGGAGTGTTTTTTTTTTTTTAATTACTTTTTCTATGTAGCTGGTACCTTTTATTTTCCATATACAACTATTACTCTAAAAGTTGTTTTGTTTGTGGGAATAACGTTTTGAAGACTTAAAAAATAATATAAACAGGAAATCTTTATGTATGATTCATATTTATTGTTGTAGAAAACTCCCAATTTTTTTTTTACTATTTAAAAATAGGGGCTAGGGGAGAGTGGCTGCAGACTTCCTGAAAAGCACTGCGAGTCACAGCTTGGAGCTGCACTTCTGTCTGCACCCTGAGTGTCACAGGCATATAATGAACTTATGCATATAACATTTCCACTTGGTTGGGGTTAGTTGAACAAATGGAAATGGATGCTAGGTATCTCCTTGTAATTAAAAAACAAAAACAAAAAAACCCCCCAAAAAACAAAAAAACCCCAAACTAAAGAAGTCTTCTGTCCTCATTTTGATTTTTGTATCTGAAGGATGCCATGTCAGTTGTCTGTGAACCATGCAGGTTCCCCTTTTCTTAAGAAGCCAGGCGTACCTTTTCCAGCTTAAAGGAGACTTGACCCAGACAGAACCACTGTAAATGCTCTTTTGTATTTGCCCACTTATGTCCAGTGTGTTGTAGATGTGCCCTCTGCTGCTTTCTGCAGAAATAGCACCAGGTGTGAAACTAGAAATCTCCTGCACATTTTCTTTAAGTATGCATATGAAATGACTGAGTTTCTGCCTTGTATTGTCTGCAGCTCAGGAATGTAGGGACAATTTGATAACAGCACTCACTGGTTCATGCTACAGTAAGAGTAATAATGAAGCATAACTTCAGCTTCTTACCACCAGTACTACAGAAAATAAAGGTGTAGTACTTGTTTTGGTACTTCTCCCACAAAAGTTGGCAGGAGTATATGACTTCACTGGGACTTGAAACCAACCCCTGGTTGGTGCCAGTATGGTGGTGTTAATATGTTGGAATAATCAAGTCCAACAAGGCTTTCAAGAGAATTTTTATCAATAAATGTTGTGCCCTTCCTCATTATATTGCTTCGTACTAATTGGGCTGTGCTGCTGTAACTAATCCTAATCTCCTTCCCCCCCCTCCCCCACCCAGCCTGCTTTTGGACGCCCATGGCCAAAAGAGCAAGGATGCAGCCAAATAAAGACTGAATTGTAATCAAAGAGTTATATGAACTAATGCAAAATCTGTCCACAAAATGTCTAGTTTCAACCAGTGCTGTTAGACAACTGTTATAATCATGAATATACATTCCAAAGTTATGTGAAGCGAGTTACTAATGTAAATCAAATATGCTTAATGTGTTTGAAGTTGCATCAGCTGTGGTGTTTTTGAATAGGATGGACTCTTTGTTTTAGTACAAAAATAAAATCTGCATATAGGAAAATGAGCTATCTGATTTACTGGATGTGTTCCTTATTAAAACTAAAAATTGGGAGTATTGGGTTCACACCTGAGTATCTTGTTACCAAAAAGCTATTCACAGGAGTTCAGAGAACAGCAGAAATAGTTACCATATTTGCTTGAATGGAAGATGACCCTGATTTTGAGATGACCCCCAACAATTAGATTCTATATATGCAAAACTTATCAAGAAAATTATATCAAATTTATATAGAATATAACCATTGGAGGGTTGCATTGAATTTGTCACCCTCCCACTGCTATAGCAGGGAAAATTAAATGTGGGGGGGGAAGCATCAGGTAGCATCTTTGCTTTCTGCTTCCTCCCAACTCTTTTCCCCTGGCAGCCCTGTCTTCCTCCTTACTGTCAGACCCTGCTCTCCCAGAGCAAATGGAAGTGAGGAGCAAATTTGAAAACGATAACTTTCAAATTAAACATGGCTTTAGCAATTTACATATAGTACTCGTATACTTAATTCATCCAGAACTGATGCATGTTACCCTTTTTTTAAACTGCTGCAAGCTTTAGTACATGTACTCCATAAATGTGCTATTGAGCAGCACTTTGGCAGCTACTTATATGTAGTACAAGCTACTAGGAGTGTGCGAAATGGGCCAAATGGGGTTTGACCCAAATCCAGTAGAGTGACTTGATTTGTTGATTTGGAGCACTGTCCCTGATTTTGGATTTAGCTGGATTGAAGATCTGATGCAGATTTGGAGAATCAGCAATTTGGCCATAGACACAGCTTTTAAATGTTTTTTCTACATACCTCGAGGTACTAGGTGTGGCTTGTAAATGATGTGATGCTGGGGTGGATGGAGCATCTCACAGGAGCGCAGGGTCGAAGGGACAGCCCGTGTCCTCAGCAATGGACCTGGAGGTGGACTGGAAGTACTTGCTGTCCCCCTCAGTACTTGGCTCCCCCATGCCTCCCTGGCTTGGTGATGGGCCACAGGGGAACGCCAGGTTCCTGCCCCTCCCCCAGACCCAGGAGGTACTAGTCATGCTTCTGGTCCACTTCCAAGTCTGCTGCCGAGTGCTCTGAGGATGCCCCCAACACTCCTGTGGGATGCTCCATCTGCCCTACAATCACAGCATTCATGAGCTCCCTGGTCCCCTGTCACAAAAACATATAAAGCCATGTCTGTGTCCAAATTGTTGAATCTCTCTCAGTCTAAGAGGGGGTGTTTGAGGGATTCTGGGTGAAATATTTGGGACACCATTTCATGATGTTTGCCAGGCAGTTAAGTGTGGTGAGCAAGCAGGAATCTTTGGAGTTGGGAAAGAAAGATGCAGCTCAGCTGTGGGTGTGAAGAGGAAGTAAAAACGTATGCAGTGTAGCGGCTCACTGTGACTTGTGAAAAAGGTTAGTGCTGAGGGGGCCTGTGCTTAATAGGCACTAGCGTGCATCTTTTATTTAGATGGGCTGCACTGATCTATCTTTGTGGTAGGTTCCTGTCAGCATGTTTGCGTAATGTGGACCACCATGTAGTTTACAGTCATACTCAGCGTTAGGTGCTCTTAATCAAGTTCATAGTTAGTTTCCCTTGCTAACTACAAGCTGCTTTTGGCAGCTGTTTAACG